GGAATCACCTTCTTGTTCCCCACAGTGTCCAAGAAGATGCTCCAGAGGAACTGGCCATCAAAGCCGGTTGTCCTTGTTTAACAACCACAATAGGGACCAGAAAATTTGTTGTTAAGCGGGACGGTTACATGAATTGTGCCCAATTTTACAACCTTTTTTTGCAATGGTCATTAAACAAATTATGCCCATTAAGCAAAACATGTGGTTGTTAAGCGAATCACGCAGTTACCCATTGATTTTGTTTGCCAGAAGCCGGCTGGGAAGGTCGCAAATGGCAATCACGCCACCCTGGGACACTGCAACCGTCGTAAGCGTGAGCTGGTTGCTAAGCACCCGGATCGCAATCACGTGACCGTGGGGGTTCTACGACAGCTGTAAGTGTGAGGACTGGTTGTAAGTCCCATTGTTCAGCACTGTTGTAATTTTGAATGGTCACTAAACAAACGGTTATTAAGTGAGGACTACCTGTATGCCCCAAAACAGTTCTCTGGCTGGTTAGTTTCTTTGGATGACCCTGTGTTCTTGTATTACAATAAAAAGCTCCAGGAGAAGGTATGGCCTTCAAACATGCAGGGAAGGACGCCACAAAGCCCTAGTCAAATGCAGTTAGCTAGGATCTCCCAACCACGCCTCCTCTTGCCTTCTGGCTACCTGAGCGGCGTTCCACAGGGGGTCATGTGTCTTCCCTTCTTCTAACTGCTTCAGTGTGTACAAGTGGGGCCTCTTGTCCTTGGCATGGATCTTCAGTGTGGTCTTGGCCCAGTCATAAGCACCTTTGAAAGATTACACACCTATCAGTGGCTGCATTCACACAACCAGCTCAACTTTAAGGACACAGCAGAGGCCTTCACACCGCATGTTTACATTTGGTCATTTTAACTTTGGTTAGGTCTTTGCGGCTACACATGTTGCATGAACCCAGAAGAAGGAGGGCTGTTACCTTCGATCTTGTCGTAGTTGGGGTTGTAAAAGCAGAAGTTGTCCGCCAGCTCCCGACGCACCACGGCCTCCTCGATGAAACCTTCCACAGACTCTTTGTACCTGGTACGATGCTTGTAGACCTCCAAGATAGCTCGCTGCACAGCAACCTGACCTGCGAGGGGGAAATCAGAGGTCATCCATCTACCCCCTAGGGCTACCAGCCTCTTGGCTGTGCTGGAACCAGTTCCTAACTGCCTTTTGCTCATGACATGGTGCCAAGATTTGTTTAAACCATGGTGTAAATAAGCCAGCAAGGCACTGGAATCATTCTTGCAGTTAAATCAAGCAATTCCAGTCAATTCCTTGGATGTCAATTTCTTCTCCCAATTACCATGACAAATAAGTTGCCTGCAAAACAGAATTCTGAGTTCCAGTGTAACAAAAAGCTACAGTTAGAATAAACAAAGCCTGATCAACCAGCAACAAACCATGATTTCGCATTATAGTTAGTTTTCCCAAATCAGCCCTTTTCTTTGGAATGGGTTTAGGCATTATTAAAACAGAAATGAAAAACAGGTTTAGCAATATGTGGAACCAGAGCTGGCACATAGCCTATATAGTAAAAACTCTGAAAAACAGTTTTATTCAGTCTGGTATCTCCAGAGAGGCTAAAAATGTACCACCCAGACTGGGTTCACACAATATCCTGAAACTGAACATCTATGTCAGCAAAACCAAATTGATCTGTGTTCACATTACACTTCACAAGGTTCGTACAGGAGCTAGCTGAAGCATTTGCCCAATCTGGTTAGTTTGATCTCTGTTTAATTTTGTGGAATATGTTGCACAAACGTAGGGCACTTGGTTATTTTATGGTTCAACAGATTAAGGACACGGAGGAGGCAGATTTGTTCACTAACCAAGTCAAGCATGCTGTTGAATGCAGCTCTTAATGCAGGTGTAATGTGATGGGTGATTCACACAATGTACTAAACACTGCATTCCCACAGCATGCTCAACTACACTACCCAAACCCATTTGAGCCAACGACCTTGTTGGCTGGGGAATTCTGGGAACTGCAGTCCGAAACACATCTGGAGAACACCAGATTGGGAAAGGCTTTTAGTATCTGGGCTCAAATTCTCTCCCCTCCCCTTAGCCCAGCACCCTTTCTCCCCCACAACCGACGCACCTCCCATCAGCCGGCCTTCCCAAACACTCCAGTTCCCTACCCTGAACCCTCACCAAAGCGGAACCAGGGTGAGAGATTGCTCAGGGCTGCCTGGTTGGGGTTGTTTCGGCCAGAGGCGAAGTGCTTCAGCCTCTCCTTCACAAACTCTTCCAGCACCTTCAGGCCAGACGCAGCGCCCGGTTTGGCCCAGTCCACCTCCTTCACGGAGCAGTCGACCTGCAGGCTGGAATAGCAGGCATCCCAGCTGATGGGCTGCAGAATTTCAAGCAGAGCAGTGGTGCAGATTTTCAGCAAGGAAAGAGATCGTGGAGAGGAGAAAATGCTGCAGGACCTATGGAACCAGATTTGGAGACCGGTCCTAGAAGCTGACGGGAACAACTGTGAACCTTGGGACTACACACAAAGTAGGGCAACGCTTCTTTCTCTTGTCACAAGAGCACCAGCACAAACTGGAGCTTTCAGCCTTAAAGACACCACTTCCTTAAAGTAATTACATATCTAAAGTCCCACTTTTCAGCCCACCCGGGTCATGGTTAAAGTGTTAGACTAGGACTGGGGAGATCTGAGTTCAAGTTGCCACCGAACCACGTGCCCGTTCACAGATTGGGGCTCTGCATAAAGGTCAAACTACAGTTATCATCATTCAAAACCAGCAAGTTACTGGCTGGGGAATTCTGGGAGTGGACACCCACACATCTTAAAGTTCCCAAGGTTCAGAAACACTGCCCTAGAGATTGCTCAACCTGAAGGCAGACCCAGCCCCATCACCTCCTCCTGAAGCCCAACAGGGAAAGGGTGCTTGATAACAGGCGGAAATTCAGTCAGGAACTCAGCCAGCTGGTCGTGGATCTTCCGGCGAATCGTCCTCGCCCCGTACTCCTGCTTGTCCGAGGCAACCCAGCACGGGACAATGTTGTGGGCGTCCACCTGGGGACGGAAAGCGAGAAAGGGAGAAGGGGTTTAACGTACAAAGGCGAGAGATTAAAAAAGCTGAACGGGAGCCTTGGAGGCTTCCACAGTTGGTGGAAGGCAAGCTTCCAACTGAGGGGGATCTACTTTTTGCTAGATTCCTATCCTCTGCCTAAATCAGAAAGTCAGGTTGGGCAGAATGGATCCTGTTGGACCAACCTGCCATTTTAAGAGCTGTGACTGTTAACCAATGCAGGAGCCCCCAAGGTCTTCAAAAAGGATTTACTGATAGACTAACCTGGCAAAATGATTTCCACTGGGCCACCGAGAGTCAGAAAGGCCTGAATGAGCCACAAAAACCATCCTCCTCATCGGTGGACAACCCTGTGCGTCCCATCCCGTCCCATCCCACCAGCCCGTTCTGTCTCCTCCAGCCAGCCGGTCATGCTCAGCTTCTCTTGCCAGCTTTGAAGTACGTTCTTGACTCTTGAGGATTTTCCTCCACACGGAAATGCGTGTGCGTACACACGAGCATACATGCCTGCCCCTTCTGCCCTTGGCTTCCCGCAGCAATAGGGCTGGGGCCAGTCCTGTTTCAACTCCCTTCCCCCAAAGCTGGCCCTCCTGCCCACGGCGGCACCAGCCCCGACTCTGCACCTGAGCAAAGGGCACATCGCTTGGCAGCTGTTCCAGGACCTCTTGAATCCATTTCATGGGAAGGCGGAGTGGGGAGAAGTCCGTCACCACCCCGCCGATGCCGCGCTGGGCCACAAAGGGGGGCAGCGTGTCTTTAGCATAACCGATCAGCAAGTGGAAGGGGATGTCAAGCGTCCGACACTCCTGGAAAATTGGAAGCAGCAGCAACGGGCCTTTCATTAACACAAGACCCCGGATTTAGTTCTCGGGATAGAGACGCTGGATGATACAAAGAGCGTCTGGGCTGGCAAGGGCAGGCAGGAGTTAATTAATTAATCCAAGTGACATCCCGCTGCAATCACCAGGACTCTTGGCGGCTTGCAAAAATAAGCAAACCCAATAGCGATATAACAATCCAATCCAATCCAGAAATGATCCGTGGGCATCAGGCCCCAAAGCCCTCCGGAAGAGCTTTGTCTTCAATGTTTTCCAGAAGGCAAATAATGCTGGGGACAAATGAATTTCGGGGGGCAGGGTGCCATTCCGGAGAGCCAACCCCATTACAAAAAACAGCGCCTCTGGGCTTTGCCCGCCCCCCCGATCTCCCCAACCAGCAGCTTCTCCAGGCTCGATAGAAACGGTCAGGGGAGATGGGGGCCTGCAGGTATCCCCTCGGCCAAGCCATAAAGGGTGACCCCGTGTAAGTGGCATGGCGCTCCCCTTCCCCGCTCACCCCCAGAGAAAGCCTGTGACCTGATAAGCAAAATATCCGTTATCCCTGTCCCCAGGTGAAGAGGACACCCTTCTACCACAATCCAGCCACACCGGTTCATTTTCAGGATACATATAAGAATGACATGGGAAGGTTCAGAGGGATCCTTGCCCTGGGTCTCTGTGTGAGTCTCTGTTCTCAACCAGCTTCCACGGCAATGGCAATTTCAGCCTCACAACAGGCAGCTTCTCTCAAGGATGCTGGGTCACGGTAGCCCAAAGACGAGGATCCGGCCACCCCTGACATGCAGATCTACCAGAATCCCCTGCCGTTTAAGGAGAGAAGGCAAGGCCAGCGCAGGGAATCACACTGAGAAGCAGCAGGAAGACTCCGTAGGTGACCGGTGTTTGGGGAGGCTCCATTATGGCCGGTCATACCTGGCTAGAACAACCTACTCCCCAACTTGTACCAGGCACCTGTTTTCTTGCCTGAACCCCGGAGAGGGGTTGGCAGCTAAGCCTCCATCCGGGCAGTGACTACTTCTTTCTCTCTGTCCCCGCAACGTCCCACCTGGCAGTACCTCGGCGACTTCCTCGAGGCCTCTGAGCATAAAACCGAAGTGGCGGATGGTCGCATCCAGGAACTTGGGCACCAGGCAGAAGCAGACGTGCAGCGGGAGACGCTGTTTTAAGGCCAGGCGCTGGGCGTAGAGAAAGGCCCAGTTATCTGCAAGAAGGATGCAGGGGTGAAGTGTCATGGCTGCAAGACGCCAGCAAAAGAAGAGCCCTCAGACTAAAGGTGTCCGCAGGAGAGGGTCAAAAAAGTCAAGATGGCCACCACCCCCATGTGATCAAAGCCCTGTGTCTCATGAAAAAGCTGTAAAACAATTCATCAAGGCTGTGTGAAATAAGGATATCGATGGCACGCTCTCAGTGGGTCAGGCCTGATTAGTCTGCGGATGGGAGACCACCAGGAAACCCCCAGATTGTAGGCTAGATTGGGAAATTTAGAAGACATCCCCCATTTGCAGTGGGGCAAACGCATTTCTCCCCTTCATGGATCACTGCCTTGTCGTGGCGAAGGGGCTTGCGTAACTCAGTGAAGCCATGAGCTATACCGTGCAGGGCCACC